TGAAGACGAGGATGATAGCAGCTGCTATGAAGCAGAGGACCTTGGGTGTACATCCACATTTTTGAGGGACGTATTGTTTGCGGCTTGACTTGTGATTGAGGTGATCTCCAACCTCAAACGGTTCATTTATGCCAGATGACTCTATAATCTCCACATGCCTGGTGTCATCTTCCATATTCTGGGCAGGTCGAATCATGTGTAGAAGTGTGGTTCACAGTTAAACTGACAAAAACAAAAAATCATGGTAATCAGAATATATCACTTCTGTATTTTCCAAACGACATGAATGGTTTGTTGATGGGACCCATGACATCAGGACCCGGCTCACAATCTTTTCTTTTCTGTCAGGCATATTTGAAATAAAGGGTTTGTAAACCATATCTAACAGCTCTACCAGTTTAGTCATAAGTCATAAGACCAGCTTGTGATTTCCCACGCTGTGAAAAATGTAATTTTCCTTCTTCATAAACATGCCTCTAACAAATAACTCATCATTTAAATGTGCCAATTGCAGGTGCTGTTTTAAAATCAGATGACAAGCTGTCAAAAACTATGAACACAGGAAAGCTGTCTCCTTTCACTTTCACAATCATCTACTCTTTCTAGCCCTACTTTCACCTTCTCAGTCCTTTTCTTGAGGTAACTTCTCTCTTAACCTGCATATATTTCCTGTGTGCTCAAAACACACCATAGATGATGATGTATGAGAAAAACAGCAAAAAAATATTTGCTTGAATAGTGAAAACAAAGCAGAAAGATAATTCAATTCAATTCAATTTGATATAAAACAGCATCATATCAACAATTTGTCAAACAGTCTCCTCAAGAGTTAATAAACTGAACTTACTATTTGAGATTCCCGAGAGCCTAAAAAAGGTGGATGGTCACCGTCTTTGGGGGCAAAGAAAAAGAAAGTGGGGGATCTACTTCCTGGTTTTGTTGTATATTAAAAGAGGAGGTGGTGGGCAGGGAAGGACCTTTTTTCTCTTTCTGTTCTCCAGAATTGCAAAAAGCTCCATTTCAGTTTTTACCAAAATGAAACTTGCCTTTCAGGTTTTTAATCTCCTTAGT